ATATATATATATATATACTGTATCTATTATATAAATATAATTGAAAAAAAAAAAAAACAGCCAAAGTCCACAACGCTAAAATTTAAAATCAGTTTCTCACCGAGACGGCAGCAGGTGACCGGTCGGACTGTTGGGGCTTTTAGAGGCTCCGAAGAGTCGACCCAGACTCCAGGGGACCGGAGCGCTGCTGCTGCTGCTGACGGGACTGTAGTCACTTCCTGCCGGGGTTTCCTCCTTTCTTCCTGCAGACAGGCTCAGTTCAGCCAGGTTCTGGCTCAGCCGGCCCCCCCAGCGCACCACAGCTCCCCATCCTGCCTGGATCACCTAAAATTGAAGTAAGAAGTCAGCTTTACCTGAGCAGAAAAAAGAAAAGACACTAAACAACAACAGGTGACCACCTGTCCTGCTTGCTGAGCAAAGCTGTCCTCCTCAACGTCAGGAGGAGGTAAAGCTCCGATTTCCTTTTCCTGCACCCACAACAGCTGTGGACTTGTTTGTCCAAAACCAAATGAAGCCTTTCTGGGTTCAGCGTCGGTGTTTGTGGACACCCCTGATCCTTCGTTCTTTGGGTTAACTCTGGGTGAAGACTCTGCAGCTGCTGGATTTTCTGGATTTCCCACATCTGCTTGTGAGCAGGTTTCTGTGGAACCACTCCCCGGGGGTTTGGATTTGCCTCGTGTCGACAGCTCCTGGAGAGGAGGGCTGTGTATTTCTGGCCTCGGAGCATCCGGCTCCAGGTGGTGGTGCTGGAAGAGCAGGTCCAGGTTGAAGGTGAGCAGGCTGAGAGGCTGCAACACGAGGAGCAGCTCGTCGAACAGAGGTCGACAGGCGGTCAGCGACAGACACATGAAGGAGCAGGGATGGTAATACGCCTCGAGGACATCTGAAATCAAACAGAAACCACCATCACAGCACCAACATACCCACTCATAACCACACTGCGCCCAGTACAGAGCTGGAAACATACCGCTGCAAGACTGGAGGTGAGACAGCCAGAAATCCAGAAGCTTAGTGCTGTGAAGGAAAGACAAAAAATTAAGGATACAGCCAGAGGAAAACAAAAGCACATTTAAAACCAGTGGTGGGCACCAGTCTGCTAAAGTGCAAATCCGCTAATTGTGGACCTAAATATTTCATTTGCACTTTAGCGGTCTTACTCATTTTTATAATTCATAAGTGGATTTGTGCTTTCTTAAATTAAAAAGCAGTACCACTAATAACTAATTATCTACCAGTCATCATTATGTTGAACAGCAGAAGGTATGACTGTCAATGAATCACAACATGTGATCTATCCAACAGCACCCCTCCCAGATAAACACACTTATTGTGAAGGTATACATCCTGCTGACTGTTGCTTTGGGTCACAGTTCTGATTTCCCACAATGCTTTGTGTCTGCTTACGTAGCAGGAAGGCAATAGCAAAAACAGTTAACGTTTGTAATCCATACTAAAATTTTGTATGTATTGATTTATTTTACTTTACAATCGGAGCTCCTTTTTAAAAAAATAAAGTTTAAACGCTGGAGCTCAATACTTGACGTAATTGGTCGAAGCAATCGGCCAACGGGGTTAGACTGACATCTAGTGGTCAACTGGAGCAATTACATGGAAAACCTTAAAATCCAAGCTCTTATTTTGAAGGGAAGATACTAGTTTCCTGTTCTCCGTGCTTTTGTTTCCCGTCACAAATCAAATCCGTCGTATCCAGAATGCATCGCTTCAGTTTTCCAATAAACAGTTTTAAAATTACTTCATTGATGCTTCTTTAATGAAAAATCTACAACAAACAAAAGAAAAAAAAACAAAGAAGCAGTCGAACTAGCAATCCTCAACAACTTTTTAATTTTTACACTAGAAGCCAAAGGTCTGTTTCAGAAAATCACATCCCCAGCAATCGGCGGTTGTAAAATTAAGCTGTAAAAGAGTTCATACACCGCTAATTGGCAGTGTTGTACATATATTGTACATGAATTTTTGTCAGCTAGTAAGTGTCAAATTGAACTTGTGCTTTAAAATTAGCTTCTGCTAGTTTACCTTTGACATAAGCGCTCTTGAAGTTGTGGACCTAAATATTTTCTTAAACGTTTTAAAAATTGCGGAGCTAATTTTTGGATTAGCATTGTCCACCACTGTTTAAAACAACCAAAATTTTACCCTTGTTAAAGACAATCAAACTGTGTGTGTAAACTATCCTGAACAGCCAATAATGAAATGTAAAATCACAATTAGCAGCAATAATTTGAAATTGTGTGTTTTATGGTCATAGAGGAACAACTATTCTTTCTAATGGGGCTTCAGTTTTTTGAGGTTTGCAGTCATTTGTTTCTGTTGTAAATTTATTACTGTTTGAGGATCATGAGCTGCGTTTCCACTGACCATGAAAATGTGCAAATTAGAATTTTGAAAATAAATTTGTTCAATGGAAACATGTCAATTTCGAAAGAAAATTCCTTTCTTTGACAAAATGAAGGACCATGTGGTCCTTCGGAGGACCCGGCCTGCCGTTTTGGACACAGCCATTGTTTCAATAAACAAAAGACCAGGGTGTTCCTCTTCTTCAAGAGTTCCCCTTTGATGTCACTTCCTGTTTTACTTTTACTGAGCCAAGTTCAAAAGAAAATCTGTCAGTTATGTGACAAAATGTGTAAAGCCATGTGTATTATACCAAGTTTGTAAAACAGAAAGATGTTTTCTTTGACTTTTTGTATTTTAAGCATGTCGCCACTTTAACTGTGTACTAAGAACAGACATTTACATGTTAAGCTTCAGCTCTTTTTTGTGATTTTGTTGAAATTAGGAGGTCAGGAAGAGTTGTCCTTACTTTAGCAGACCGAGGAGGAAGGCGTTAAACCTGTGCTTGCTCTGTCTGAGCTGAGGCAGCTCAGAAACCCGGACCTGCAGGTTGAATAAGGCTTGGGTTTTAGGACCTTGAGATGAGAGAGAGAGAGAGAGAGAAGAAAAGAACAAGAGGGAGGAAATGAGCCGGGGTGAGTGAGGAAAATTGATTGAAGCTTGGCACTCAGAAGCCAGTCGATATCTGCATCCTGTTGGTTCACATTATTCAGCGCTTTCAACGTTAAAAACCAAGCATGGATGGATGCGTGGTGGAAAAAATAAAGCCATCAGACGTGATTCTTCATTATCAAGCAGGCGGGAGTAGAGCCACGTGTTCTGTAGGTTACCTGGCCTCGTCGTTGCCTGGACAAGACCCCAGGCGGAGTTTGGCCTCCTGCCTGAAATGAGGTCACTCTGGTGGGCTTTCAAGCCGTCGGTCAGCAAGTTGTGCAGGGCGGGGCAGAGGCACTGCAGCACCAGACGGCCCAGAGATGGATTTATAGTGCTGTCTCCAGATAAGGCCTGAGCAGAGGAGAAGGATGAGGGAAGCATTAAGTGATTGGACTCAACCTGATATGTTTGTGGGAGGGAGCTGGAATGGATGACCCACAACTACAAGGGCAGTTTTCTGAGGTTGGTTTGAAAGAAATTTACTTATTTGACAAAAACACTGAAATGTTCTGAGTCAAATCAGAGCAGTGTTGTATAAAGTACCTGAAAGTGATACTTGAGGAAAAGTATATTATCATAAAATTACTTTGGTAAAAGTTAAAGTCTCCTCTAAAATATTATTTGAGTAAAAGTCAAAGTATCAGATTCATTTTGTACTTATCAAAAATAAATTTCTGACATAAAATGTACTTAAGTGTTAAAAGTAAAACTATTAAGTAAAAATTAAGGGTTAGATTTTCCAAAAATACATTTATTGAAAGGTGACCTCTTCAAAAATTATTTTTTCTAAAGGCTTTGATTAACTGTATACAAACTAAATACAGTATCAGAATGGTATATATATATCAGGGTTGCAACGATACAGAAAATTCATGATTCGGTTCGATACTTTAGTCTCATGGTTCGATTTGTTTTCGATACAAAAAGAGAAATGTCCATGCCCCTTTTAACTTGTAATTTATTTATATTAATTATGAACATTTGTTTAACTTCAAAAGTTCAGTTTTTAAATTAAATGTTGCTGAAACAGCAAGTTTCTCAATGGATCTGTGCTCAAAAATGCAGCCTAGGTGGAGTAGTCGAACACAGATCCACTGATCCTTCAACACAGAGCATCTTCAGAAGACAAGCTGATAAAATAATTTTTAAAAATCTGTATTGTTCCATACAAGTGTGTATTGAACCTAAAGCTCTGTTCGATACGGTTCGATACGGGTACATGTATTGTTGCACCCCTAATATTTATACTTCTCATCCAAATGGTGGATGCACAATTAATCAGGATTTTTTTTCTATTTATTTTTTATTTTAATCTTTATTAATTTTTCAAAACAAATCAATCTATGTTCAAATATAGATAAAAAACAAATATAATGAAATGATAGGAAGCAGAGAGA